AGCAATCATCATAGCATGGACAATTGCTATTCGCAATGACGTCACAGCCAATCTTAAATAGCATTTTTGTTCCTGCTGTGACATGTGCTCTAGGCCTACTATATTCTGACCTGAAATGAACTCACTGTGATCTTTCTCCAGTTTCTTGTTTGGGATTTAGGGGGTTGAGAGATACCGGCGACAAATTGTAATAGCAGTCTACTTATTATTAGGCTAATAATAGGCTTGGTTATTATCAAGGTGGTGATTTTTGGCTCCAATGTTTTTTCAAGTAATTCCAAAACCCCTTTTAAATATTTAGTAGACCCCTTCTAATTTATAAGCTTATCAGTCTATGTCTGAAACATTTTCCATCACATGAACTAATACTTTCAGGCTTAGTGTTAAAGAATAATTGTAACTATGTCCATTCTTAAGAAGCTAAGACATTATCATTAGAATGATAACAAAGTGGGCAACTCAATCGTTACATTTACATTAACTAAATGTTAAAAAAATTTCCCTGTTTTTGTTATAATAGCAAATTTAAAGCAGCACTTTGGCAATATATATATATATATATATATATATATGTTTGATTCTTATCATTATAAAAAAAGCATATTATGTACAAGAATCATCATTCCTTTGTGGCCCCTGGGGAGCAAAGGGCTGCAACCACACATTTGAAGCGGACTCGGTTTTGTGCTGCTCCCTTAATTTGTGCCTGTGTGAGCCCAGTTGTTTTCGCCTCTTCTTCAACCGTTCTTCTTCATGTCTTCATTGGCCTGCCCACCCTCCTTTTTCCCTGGGGATTCCAGTCCATAGCATGTTTTGCGATGTTTTCTTTTTCTCTTCTTAAAGTTAGTCCATTCCATCCCCATTTACGGGCCTTGATATCTTTCTCTATTGGCTGTTGCTTTAAAATTTGCCACAGGTCTTTGTTTGATATTTTGTCTGGCCATCTTATTTTAAGTATATGTCGTAAGCATTTGTTTACGAATGCCTGTAGCCTATCAGTATTTGTTTTCGTAACCCTCCAAGTCTCAGAGCCATAGAGCAGCACTGCCTTGACATTTGTGTTGAAAATCCCCATTTTGCTCCGTAGTGACAGAGCCGTGCACCTCCACATCGGGTGCAGTGAGTTGAAGGCACATCTAGCCTTGTTGATACGGCATTTTATGTCCTTGTCTGCTCCCCCATCCTTATTGATCACGCTTCCCAGATATGTGAATGCGTTTCTTTCTCGTAAATCTTCTCCATTTAGCTGTATGGGCAGGTCCTGGCAGTTATTGATTCTGATTTTTTTTATTTTAAGTCCAACTTTGGAGGCTTCTTCAGATAGCCGATTTAGTTTGGCTTGTGTATGATAATGCTTGTGAGATAGTAGGCAGATGTCATCGTCAAAATCAAGATCCTCCAACCTTTTTGTGAAACTCCACTGGATTCCTGTGTCGTTTTTTGTGTTTTTCAGCATCATCCTGTCGATTACCATCAAGAATATCATTGGCGATAACATACATCCCTGTTTTACTCCCGTCGCCACAGTGAATGGTTTTGTTAGTTTTTCCTTGTGTATTACCTGACTGGTAGAGTCTTCATATAGTTTCTGTATGATAGATATAAATTTTTTTAGTATTCCATAGTGGCTCATTATCTTTCAGATAACATCCCTATTCACACTGTCAAACGCCTGTCAAACAAGAATATAGGTATAATTTCATTCACATATATGATTATAATATGTCAGCTACCTTTTTGTTTGCTGTAGCTTGTTGATTCTATTAAACTAACCATGGGTACCATATTCACTAGAATTATACCCCTATATTTTTACTGTTATACTTATTTTGAAAAAAAATAAATTATTAACCCTCTTAAGACGTAGCTTTATTAACCCCTTTACCGTGTAATTGTTTTTTTTTCATATGATACTAGAAAGCCAATTGTGTGGCTTCTATTACGGCTGACACCCGGTCGATAGATCGGCCGCTTGTCTTTTTGGCTATAAAACTGGCGGCCGATAGATCAGCCTGGTCGTCCCAAGAAGGTTAAGTCCATATGCTAACCGCCACAAAACTTATGCATACATATATATTTATTCCCTGCCATACAAATAAAAAAGCGTTGAAAGTTATTGCAAATGTTGCTTTATGGTGACTTTTTATGATTTTTAAATCTTGAAGCGGCCATTTTTTTTGTTATAAATAGGAATCTCGTTCAAGACAATTGATTTGGCTCAAATTTTTTATCTCTCCCTGGCTAACAGGATTTGAATTTAAGAGAGAGAGAACAAAAACTTACAAGTCCTATTCTGTAACAAAATTAAAAAAGCATTTAGTGCGAATTAGTACCAAGCTACCTGAAAAGAGCAAAGGTTTATTAAGCTGTTTATCGCAATTTACAACTGTAATTAAAATTAATTTTTTAAATTTTATTACATATTTGGATAAGATTAAGTACTTATTATTTACAATTAAAAACTAACAACAGCAAATCAGGTTTTGATTGTTAATATCTTAGTATTTCTATTTTTAAAAATAATTTAAAAAAACTGGTAGCTCAAGATATTAATCTGCAGTCCTTATGGATTTGCATTAATGGTCATCTATTTTCATATCAAATCTTAGTAAGTAATCATTAGTAATCAGACCCTATATGGCATAGCGTTGCAGTTTTGCAACAATACTTTAGGAGTAATCAAGTACTGTATTATTTAATATTTTGTTTCGTTTTCAACTTATTTTACTCCGGATAGCACTTTTTATTACATTTTATACCGGAACTCTTTTGAAAAGAAGATTTTTCTTTTTCAAATCGGACATTTTTAGAAGCGATCTACACTTTTCTGCTTTTTGCTAAATGGTAAGTATAAAATTACGTTAAAACAGTAACAATAGTTTTATTAGCTTTATTTATATTTTATAGGCCTATATTTATTATTTATCGTTAAGACTAGAGCTAGACTAATGAATAACCTTTTGTTTTTATTTTAGGCTTTCACATATTTATAACCATGGATCCAAGAGTCTAATTTGAAAGTCTTCTACCAGTTTATTCTGAGCTACTCCTTTTGGCTCAAAAGATACTGAGTTGTCCAATGATGAAATAGAGAACGTAAACAGTACCCGGGTCATATCGGATGTTGGTGATGAAGATTTGTCTGACGTAGTTGAAGGTAACATATTATTATTGCATACTTTAAAGGTTTGATTGTAGATTAGTAAAGCATTTATTGTTTTGTTTACAATTATTGCATAATTTATAACCAAATAATGTTCTCAAAATTTATTTCTACAGAGTATGCCCATTTGCGAAAAATGATGAAACTCCTCAGGACCTTCTCAATTGTCTACACCAAGGTCTTCATTAGCAACAACAGAATGATCAGTCCCAGTAAACAGCAAATGTTCCACCATTTCCTGAGCCTAGGAGAGAAGCCAAACATCAGAGGCGGCCATTGGATTATTTCAACGACATCTTTACAGATAATCTGTGTTCGGACAGTTGTGTATCAATCCAACCTGTACTGTCCTCTAACATGACATCAACAGTCCTTTAGCACTGGATAAAGATTATTCCTGGAAATTAGATTTTACATAAACATTGTAAAAAATTCCTAAATGCTTAGTGTATTGGAGCCTTGCCACCAAGTTTGTTACGGTCACATACGTCATGACCATCAACAGATTCAAGCGGAATAAGAATAATCTGCACCTGTCAAACAATGTCCTCAGCAGGACAAACAATCCATTAGCACTGGATAAGATTGAGCTAAAACATTTCCTAGGAATTGTGTGTATTACATAAACATTGTAAAAACTCATATATGCCGAGTGTATTGGAGACTTGCGACCAAATGTGTTACGGTCAATACATCATGACCATCAACAGATTCAAGCGGATAAAGAATAATATACACCTGTGAAACTATGTCCTCAGCAGGACATAAACAATCCACTAGTACTGGATAAAGATGAACAAAAACATCTCCTGGAAATTGTGTTTTACATAAACATTGTAAAAAAAATTCTAAATACCAAAGATCTTGGTGCCTTATCACCTAATGTGTTACTGTCACAGACATAACCATCAATAGATTCGAGTGGATTAAGAATAAGCTACACCTGTCAAACAATGTTCAAAGGGCAGAAGTTGACCAATGTCGGAATTCTGTGCTTATCAAACCCCATGCCATCTGAGATTCTAAGTATTCATGAGCAAATCGACCCATTCACATATCGAAGGCAAAAGCAGTCCAACCTACAACCATAGAAAGCCATATAGATGGGCTACAAAGTCTTTGTTGTGTCCAACAACTTGTATAATCCAAGATTTTGAAGTGCATACAGGTAAAGCTACAAAGGGACAAGATGACAAAGTGCTGTTGCTAATATTGAGCAGACATTATTACAGAGTGTTCCCCAATATGTTGGGCTCAAGATTTACAATAGACAATATCATTTAGTTCATCATTTAGTTGCAGGTTGTCCTGCACCAAGAATGCACAGAAGTTTTTATTTGTTGTATAGCAAACAAAAAAAATGCTAATAAATTTTTTACTAAATAAACCTTCATGTAATTTTTCAGTTGTTTTTTTCTCTTTCAGTGTACATGTTTTTACTTTTGTTTTCATCATAAATAAGCTTACATGTTACTATTGTTACTCTCAAATGATTTGTAGAAGTTATTTACATTTCTATCAACAATTCTATATAAATATTTTTTTTGCTTATTATGGATAAAAAGTTTGACCGTTGCGCATAGTTGCAGAATTGCAACGACCAAAATTGTTGTGATATTTATCATCTATTCAAAAAAAAAATTCCCTACATCTCAAGTTAGTCCATTTGCTGTAGAAATATGAAGTCAAAAAATTTTTACCAAGTAAACCAATAATTCATGCAATAAAGGGTAACAAAAGTCTGGCATGTGTTGCAATTATTGTCATGTTATTAGTAGTAAGTTGTTTTGGCTAACATTTACATTGGTTTAACATTTATATTTTTTTTAATCATCAGTTCATTTCTGAGATGCTGTCCAGCATGGAGGTTGAAACAGATGTGTTATCTGCAGTTTCATCTACAGTTTCATCTACTGTAGATATACAGTCAAATGAATTAACAGAGTTTTCATCTTCTGAAGATTTGAAACCGGATCTATCATCCATAGTATTATCATCTTCTGAAGACATAAAAACAGAATTAACATTTTTTAATTTCCAGGATATAAAACCTGACATGACATTTAAAAACCCTCAAGATGTTAAACCTGATGTTACACCAGAATTTTCTACTTCTGATGACATAAAACCAGAATTATCAATTTTTAATTTCCAGGATATAAAACCTAACAAGTCATTTAATTCTTCTCAAAATTTTAATCATGATATTACATTTTCAATTGAAGAAATTAATAAGAAACCTGCAACAGTAGCATTTTCAACATCTGAAAATTTAAAACCAGAATTGTCAACTACTGAAAGTTTAAAACAAGATTTGGCTAAAGAATTTTTATTTCTTGAGGACAAACAACAAAATGGACTTGAAGAAAATCTACAAATGTCTATGGACAAAAATAAGGTTGTTCATTGTCATCAAATATTTTCTCAAAGTTCTAATATTAATATGCATAAAAATGTTCATTCTGGAGATAAGCCATATGAATGTGATGTTTGTCATGAAAGGTTTACTCAAAGTTCTACTTTAAGAACACATAAAAAGATTCCTTCAGGAGAAAGGTCCCATGAATGTGATGTTTGTCACAAAAGATTTAGAGCTAAGAAGAGTCTATTACGACATAAAAAGATTCATTCAGGAGATAAACCACATGAATGTGATGTTTGTCACAAAAGATTTAGTGCTAGAAAGGGTCTATTACGGCATAAAATAGTTCATTCAGGAGATAAATCACATGAATGTGATGTTTGTCTGAAAAGATTTTCATATAGTTCTAATTTAAGAGAACATAAAAAAGTTCATTCAGGAGATAAGCCACACGAATGTGATGTTTGTCACAAAAGATTTAGTGCTAAGAATAGTCTATTACGACATAAAAAAGTTCATTCAGGAGATAAACCACATAAATGTGATGTTTGTCTGAAATGATTTTCATTTAGTTCTAATTTAAGAGAATTTTTATTTTCTGAGGACAAACAACAAAATGGACTTGAAGAAAATCTACAAATGTCTATGGACAAAAATAAGGTTGTTCATTGTCATCAAATATTTTCTCAAAGTTCTAATATTAATATGCATAAAAAAGTTCATTCAGGAGATAAGCCGCATGAGTGTGATGTTTGTCATAAAAGGTTTTCTCAAAGTTCTAATTTAAGAACACATAAAAAGATTCATTCAGGACAAAGGCCTCATGAATGTGATGTTTGTCACAAAAAAGTTAGTGATAAGAAGGGTCTATTACAACATAAATTTATTCATTCTGGAGATAAACCACATGAATGTGATGTTTGTAATAAAAACGTTGTGGATATGAAGGATCTATAATGTCATTAAACTGTTCATTCTGAAGATAAGCAATGTGAAGTTCTAATTTAAGAACACATAAAAAGGTTCATTGAGGAGAAAGGTTACATGTTGTAATGTTTGTCATAAAAACTTCAAGGTTAAGATGGTTGTATTAAGAAATCAAATTATTTATTCAGGAGATACGCAATATGAATGTGATGTTTGTCTTAAAAGAATTTTCGAAGTTCTGATTTAAGACAACATAAAAAAGTTCATTCAGGAGAAAGGCCACTAGAATGTAATGTTTGACATCCAAGGTTTTCTCATATTTCTTGTTAATCTTCACACACAAAATTTTTTTTATAGAGAAAAGCCACATGAACTTGATATTAGTCATAAAAAGTTGACTCAGAAGAATAATTTGTTATGACATGTGTTTTTACAGGTTATGAGCCATATGTATGTATAAAAGATTTTCTCAATGTTCTTATTTAAGTTCACTTGAAAAGTCATTCAAGAGACAAGCTACATTAATATTTTTTTTGCCATAAATGATTTTCTCAAAGTCTTAGTCCATATGCACATGAGAAAAATCAATCAGGAAGAGAAGCCACTTGAATGTGATGTTTATTACTAAAGATTTTCTCAAATATCTAATTTTAATACTCATAAAAAATTCATTCTTGAGGTAAGGTAGGAAATTCATCATGACTTAACACTAATTATGGGACGGAGTGGTCTAGCGGTAGAGAGCTGGACTGCTTACCCGTAAGTGTCGAGTTCGTATCCGGGTTGAAGTCAGTAGACCGTCTCTGAGTCCCCACAACTTTGATGGGTACCTAACTCACGTTAGGGAAAGTAAAGGCGGCTGGGCATAGTGCTGACCACACTATCTCTTCATATGCCAAGGTCACAGAAACAAGTGAACTCTACTTCACTTGCCCTATAGACTGTCGGGTTTGGAAAGGGAACTTTTTTAACACCAATTTAATTCATTTTTTAACAAAATAAATTAATTCTAAAGCAAATTATAATTAAATATCCTTTTATAATTTTTTCTCATCACATAACTTTAACTAGCTGTTATCCAATAGTGGGCCATAGTTTATCAATTTTTATATTTGTATTATGAAAAGGTATTTTTGTGGAAGAGTATACGCATGCGGCTCTTTTGATGTCAAGATTTGGCTCTTGTCTTGAGTTCCATACACACGCTATTTCATTTTCAAAACTCTTAACAAATATACTGTAAAAAAAAAAACCTTTAAATGGGATAAAAATATTCAGAGAACAATGAGAGTAGGTGTGGTAGAAAATGTACAGACAGCTGACAGCCACTTGGGCATCAGACCTGTTTAAAAACAGGTGCAAAAACGAAAAAAGGAACTCCGAAGTTTTACTTTTGTAAGACAAATCTTGATTGGCTGTATGGATCTCTGAGATCGATCCTCTCAAAATTACACTTAATAAAAATGTTATAGTATTTAATCTGTACTCAAAACTTTGTCAATTATTTAAGTCAATACAATTTTTAGGGGCCTAAATAATTTTTTTTTGATCATACAACTTAGTTCAGCCATGTTTGTTGTCATTTTCAGTGATTAAATGTACACAACAAATTGTTTCAGGTTTTTTTTTTGTTTAGTAACTGTCAATGCTAAAATCATCAAATAGGCCTTACATCCAATTTTAGTTAAATTCAACAAAAATCAGTCACCTTTTTTATAACCATATTTATTTTATTAACATTGTGCCTACAAACAAATGCTTTTAAAACAAATTTAAAATAATTTCTAGACTATTCTCGGTTTGGTCAATTTGTTTTAATATGTATTTATAGTGGACTTAAACAATTTTTATTAAGGGTCATATGATCATGCCTCAGTTTGTAACACAGACTGAGGCTCGCTATCTCCTCGTTGTTACAGCTTCAATACTTTTCAACGATTTTCCTGTATTTTTATTAACACTGCACTATAAACACTTAGATTTAGATCTAGATCTGCACACAAATCATAATTTAAAAAAAAAAAAACAATTTATTTATGGTTCTTGAAGGACTATCACACCACCAAACACAGTCACAATTGTCATTTGACATTTTTGCATAACTTCAGCCAAAAAGATAATTGTCTGAAATAATTTGAGTAAATGTTCTAATTTTATCATTAGAAATAAAACCCACACAGGTTTAAATAATTCTCTTTTCTAATAACCTTACCTATTATTTCCTACACTATCTTTATGCTTTAACAAACCTGTTTTCATTTAAAATAGGGAACCTATAGTTTTGTAATTTAAATGTAAGTGTTAGGACAGATTTAGAATCTAGTCCTTATATACTAGACACCCATAGGTTAAATTGTAGGTCTACACTATTCTCAGAACTATACCATATCTAATATATAAAGCTCAATTCTGTATGTAACTAACATGTAGTAAGTTTGTTTGTTTGTCGTTGACATACTTCTATGGATTTAAGTGTTAGATAATTAAAGTCCTAGTGGTCTAAATTTATGAGTTAAAAAATTAATATTGAAAGTTTTGGGAAATAATTTTCATTTATCAAACTGAAAGCAATAATTTTCGGCATGTTCATTAAACACAAGTTTTTAAAAAATATCATCTTTTACAAAAAATTTAATTGTCTTTATTTAGTCCTATAGCACTTTCTTCCCTTTGATAAATTAGGAAAACACAATTACTTCCCTTTATAAAACCATTGCATTAGTGGAAAAGAATTTACTTTTTAATTACTTTGTTTTGGTGTTGGAAAAAAAAATAATTACATAATTAGCGGGGATTTATCACGTGCAAATGTTGTAGGTATTATACGGATAAGCTTGGAGTATTATAATTGTTCATTAAATTGAAACAGGCGCGTTCGTTTAAGTGCGTGCAAAAGACTATAAATAAGTTGGGGTACTATAGTCGTTCATTAAGCTAAAACAGGTGATTTTCGCGTTAGTGTTTTCTTTGTGTTTAGGTGGGTTTGCGTTAGTGGTTGCGTTTTGATTTGGTTCGTTTTTGTTCTTTCTTTTGTTTGTGTTTTTTTCTTTGGGTTTGTGTTTGTGGTTGGTTTTGCGTTGATTTGGTTTGTTTTCGTTTGCTTTTTCGTTTTTTTTTTCTTTGTGTTCGTATTGGTGTTTGTGGTTGTGGTTGGGTTTGTTGTTAGGTTTTTTTTTTCGTTTGCTTTTTTGTTTGTTTTTTTGTTTGTGTTTGTGATTATGGTTGGGTTTGTTGTTAGGTTTTTGTTTTCTTTTGTATTTGTAATTGTGCTAGCGTTATGTTTGCGTTTTGTTGTTTTGGTTGGTTGTGGTTTGGGTGGGCAATGCCGGGTTTATGATGATTACTAAACACACAGGTAATGGTCTTTAACAGAAAGGTTTTTCACAGAAGCCAGAGTAGGGCCTGGCCGGGACGGCTAGTATTTTTATATAGGCTAGAAGTCTATATGTTTTAATTAATTATTTTTTAAATAACAGGCTTCACAAACGAATTAATTACAGAGAGTCAGTGATTTTCAGTAATAATTTAAAAAGAATTAGTCATCATTCTTACCACTACTTGATCAATGACTAAATGCCGGATTGGTCTAGCGGTAGAGAGCTGGACTGCTAACCTGTAAGTCTCAGGTTCAAGTCAGTATACCGGCCCTGAGTCCACCCAACTCTGATGGGCACCTAACTCACATTAGGTAGGGTAAGTAATGGCAGCTGGGCATAGTGCTGACCACACTATCTCTTCATATGCCAAGGTCACAGAAACAAGTGAACTCTACTTCACTTGCCCCTTAGACCGTCTGGTTTGAAAGGGAACTTACTTACTATTTGTACTCGTCTAATTCTTCTCCTTTTTCGTTCTTAATTTTAGTGTTTCATGGGATCCCCTCCAACACAATTAAATATACGTGGTATGTAATAAGCGTGATAAATGTGGGCAGTACAGGTGGTTGAACTAAGCATAACTATTGTTGCGATGAGTTGAGGGCAGCAAGTCAGATGAATTTACCATTTCATGGTAATTTAATGTTAGTATTTAAAAAAAACACGATGAAAACCGAGGACGTTGGAACATTCTATTAAATGATATTAATATTATGTTTTACATAATTACAATTTACATACTTAAAACTAAATATTTGTAGATGAATTATAAACATTACCATGCGTATACCACCTACACACATAACATTACATTCAATTAATCCTAAGTTAATTTTGCACTCTCTAAATATATAATTCATAAAAGTCTTAACACATTCCATGCAAATATATATTTGTGACTTTTTTCCTGTGACTTTTTTCTGTGTTTTTTTTTTCTGTGTTTTTTTTTCCTGTGACTTTTTTCCCTACAATCATCTACATAAGGTGGTACATTACGTTTTTAATATTAAAAAAAAACTTTCCTTCGTTGCCGTGACGGGAAAGGGGGGGGGGGGTGAGCTCTACTTTTGGAAAACTTAACGGGCAGTGTGTTAAGGTGTGGGGGGGGGGGGGTGGCTGGAGGAAAGGGGAAGGTTTAAGCGTTTTAGTTGCGTCAATTTTGGACTGATAAAAAAGGGTGAAAGTTACTGAAAGGTGGACCTCCACCCATCCTCTTTCACCCCTAGCCATATACCAAGCTTCGACTTATTGTGTATAAATCTTCTTGTAGGGAGTGGTGGGGGAGGGGATAGGTAGTTAGTAGCCATTAGGGATGAGCAATTATATTTAATTAAATAGGATATAATCGTAAAAGGTGGATTTCATTTATTATATTAGTACAGTTTTATTTCTTTGTTATAAAAGTAAGTAATTGGTTTCAATCAAAGCATTGAAATACAATACAGATGATAACGGCCCCCTCCTCCCCCCCCCCCCCACGCTTCAAACGTATGTTATTTTACTGATCATATAGAGTCCTTGCAAACAGGTGACCTAAATCACGTGATACCTGCGTCCGCCGCCACAGTGGTGTACACCAGACGTAAACACAATCAGCTGTTCACCAGCGCTGGACGCGTTCACTGTATGTAAAGAACCGCACCCGCGGAAAAGGAAAAATACGTTAAAAGACTTGAACTCTTAGAAATTGAAGATCCTTATACTGTTATTTACAGTTTTGTGAATAATATAAATATGTGGCCGAAATTTCTAAATAAAAATACTGTTAGCAATTCTGTTTGCGTTTAGAGTTTAAGTAGACGAATCTGATCAAGTGCAGTAATATATTATATGTTATCTAGATCTGGTTAATGTAGATTCTAGATTCTCTGTTAAGTACACGATTTAGTAGCAATAGATCTAGTACAACCACACTACTGTAGCAAACGTTAGACCACTTAACTCCTACAACGGCTAAAATAATTCATGGGTAATAACCAATCTCAACCAATCTGGGTAGCATGTTATACAATTTAAGACCCTTATAATCCAGCAGGGAAGTTATCAGACACATTAATACTGATGTTTAACCCTCTTGATGGCCAGCCCGATTGTAGGAAAAAATAGTCACAGGAAAAATAAAAACACAGAAAAAAAGTCACAGGAAAAAAGTCACAAATATATATTTGCATGATATTTGTTAATACTTTTATGTATTAAATATTTAGAGAGTGCAAATTAACTTAGGATTAATTTAATGTAATGTAATGTGTGTAGGCTGTATACGCATAGGAATTTTTATAATTCATCTAAAAATATTTATTATGAAGTATGTAGATTGTAATTATTTTAAAATTAAGATTGCTCCAAAATCTCCGGCCAGCCCTCCACCTTTTTCTAACCCACAATAAAACCAAAGAGGAGCCTGTACCACTGCCCTTCCCTGAACATTTCTCACCTCCGTGATACCCAGACCCACAGAGATAGTATCTCTTAAATAATTTTGACCCTCAGGGCCCAGCAGGGAGAACAAAGGGGAAAGTCCCACTGCTCTCCCGTCAACATTTCTCACTTCGATGTCATGTTATGTCATTTATAGCACACATGGCTTATCAGGGGAAAGCTACACACTAGTATACTAGCTACACACTAGGTGCCTACTGTAAACTACTAGACTGTAGGCCCTATGTAGACCTGCAATTGTATCAATTGTAGACTGGGTCCATTTTTCTAAACCATCTCACTTATAATGTTTCTAGCTTGATTTGTTTCTTTTATAAACAATGGATTTTTTAAAAAATTAGCCTAATCATTAATCATTAACCAAAATATAATGCACAAGAATCCTTGATCTTCATTCCTCTTTAAAACGATAGATGCAGGCAATATGTAATACAATCCAGTATAATTATCTGATCTATCATGTGAAGTTGAGAGAATCCTAAGAATCGTAAAAAAAACAACAACAACTAATCGTGTCATTTAACAAACCCGCGAGTGAAACAATACATTACACTTTAATACATTTGGTTTCTGTTCTAACTGTTACACGATTTATCTACTCACCGTTCCGGTGTAAATCCTTCCTATTAACCTTGATGTAAAAGCCCCCCCCCCCCCGACCATCTTGGACAAAGTTGGTAGTGTGGGTTTTAACCTTACTAACATTTTTTTACGGTTACAGTTACACAATGCACAATCAACTTTTATACAATTGGTTTCTATTATTAGTGATAAAAATCTACTCACCAATCTAGTGTAAATGTGTCAAATTAATTCTTCCAATTTTATTCAGCGAAAAAGCCCCCCCCCCCCCCCCCCCCCCGCCGGTCGAGAAAAAAATTGAAAGCGTTTTTTTGCCGGTCGCTGTTTCGTAAGGGTATTTGTTTTACACAATCAATGTAGAAACAGTTAAATCAGTATGTAAAGGCTTGTAGCCGTTAAATTTCTTAACTGTGACTGTTTATAATTCAAAACTGCAGCTTAAAATAAGCTTTTGAATTTTTTTTCTGTCCCTTTTGGTGCCTCCCTCGGGTCGGCGCACGGGGCGCCCCCTCCCCCGCCATCCCCCCTATCTACGCCTCTGGACTTACGGACATCTTGGAAAAGTTTAACTCCAAATTCTTATTTAGGCCTAGTGATAGACCTAGATGTTATCGAAAATATCAAATCCCTATATTACATTATCAGTTAATGTACACATGGTGTGTAAATGAATAAGTATCTTTGCAGCATGTTTTGAGAGGTCTACTAAATATTTATAGACGTCTACAATGGAGGGGGGGGGGGGATTCGTCGAAAGTGGACGAGGGAGGGGAGCGGGAGGGGGGGGGGGGTTAAAACTCCACATTTTTGTGGACGACATAAATGGATGACACCGAGTCTAGTCTAGCATACACGTCATAAGTGTAAACGCGGTGTTACACTAACACTTACCCTGTCCCTAACCGGCCTAACCCTAATGCAGCTATTATGCGCAGAACAATTGAATTTCGTTCGGGGGGGGGGCGGACACTGTTAAAAGTATGTATTTTCTATATAAATTATATAAATTTTATGTCGTTCGGGGGGGGGGGGGTTCGGTAAAAAAATTCCCCCCCCCCCCTTCCCGAAGAGATGCCTGGAAGAAACTCTGGTGATTAGGTATCTATATTTTGTACTTATAACTTGCAGGCCTATTAACATAATAATAAAACAGTTTGCTTAATAAGTTCATCAGGTCATTTCATAAATACAAATGTTATAAACATATAAAAATCACAAAACCATAGGTAATATCTGAATTCTGTAGCCTACCTTACATTTAGGCTAATACTGAATTAAAAAGAAATCACATTAAGGTTTGAAATTAATACAACTTGTAATTAAGAAAGAAAGCTTCATTCTAAATACTACAAGCTATAATAACAAATAAACAATAACACAAATTCAAAGATTTTTTCAACTCATTTAGTCGAAAATATTTTTATTTTTTCCGATATTGACCAAAATAAGTTTTTAAAGCTTATGCCTAATGTTTTTACAAACATAACTCAATTTTATTAGGCCCCTGTAAACATTAAATAAGATTCCTCTGTAGACCAAGCAATCTATTTGGCAGATGAAGTAGAGTTCACGTTTCTTGACCTTGGCATATGAAGTGATTGTCCGTGTGGTCAGCACTATTCACAGCCGCCTTTACTTTTTACCTTTAATTTCCCCAATGTATATCAGGTACCCATCAGAAATGGGCGGTCTCTAATTGAATTTTATTAAACAAACATTTTGATATAGATCTATAACATTCCAAACAACATCTGATCTGTAAAATTTACCTTTCTGCTTCCAAATGCGGTATTTTCCAAATGAAAATTCATCACAAAACATACAATAAATTATATAAATGGCATTTTATAAATTTATATAAACTATTTACTTTCACCTTGGTGTAAAAAAAATGTAGGTATAAGCAAACTGATTTCAATAGTAAGAAAGAATCATGTCTTTTCTTGCTTACTAGATTTAAAACAAGTGAATTTGACTTTTTACCTGCGTTTTTGGTCGCGTTTCTATATATTTTATTTGCGACACAAAAAAAAATTATATTTAATCAACCAATTATGCTAAATTAATAAAATCGGTACTGTTGGATTGCATTTTTAAAGTTCTACAGATATATGCTATTCTTTTTATAATTTGAAGAAAATTGAATTTATATGAGACTAACTATATTGTGATATAGTTGTGTCAAATATAATAGATCAATGGATTATAAATCTAAATCAATGAATATAGGAAAAAAATTAACTTTAAACAGCAGTGTTTGCGAGCAAGATTTGCTATATCTATATGTATAAAGTGGTCAAATCTTCCCGGCGCCACATGCGTGTCAAATTTGGCACGATGGTGCCTTGGGGCGATAGAACACGAGGGCCGGTGTCGGTTTGCCAAAAAGTCTACGGATAGGGGGTCAAAACTGATCCCGACTGACCGGCGCCTTATATGGGCTATATTACGAAAAAAAAAATTTCCTCCGACGACCCCCCCTTGAAATTTTGTGAGGTGGTAGGAGAATGCCTTGGGGTGTCACCAAAAACTCGCCATGTCCGGAAAAAATCGGGAAATGGGTCAAAACTGACCAGTCGTATTTCCCTATATAATCTTTGTATTTTATGAGGAAAAACAGGGAATTTTCAACACAATTTTTAGGTTACTTAACGTCTGTACATCATGCTAAGTTTTTTCATACACTACTATAGATGACTAGGCCGTATGGAAACACTGTTGGTCAGACCCAAAGCCCTCGACGAGGGCTAAAAGATGATCGTGAGTGAAATTCTTCTTATATGAGATATATATAAATAAATTGACGAACGATCCCCTTAATATTATGTGACGTCGTAGACCGACCCTGGAGGGTAACAAAAAAACTTTATTCCCGTCGGAAACAGCCATTATAATCGTTAAATATGTTCATATACCGTAATTTCTTATATAAGCATAGCAACTGTGTTTAAAACAAGTTAATAAAAAGTCTAGTGACAATTTAAGCGCAATTTCTCTATGTTATCCAAAACAATTTTAAATCGAGATAAATCATATATTCAGCAAATAAATAATGCAACACAAGTAGTTTTAATAATTCAAAACAAAATAGAACAAATATTTATTAACGAGATTTTTTTAAAAATATGCGAACGTGTAGGGGGTAATAGAAAATATCAACGGAAATAGTTTTATTTTAACGAGTAGGCCTACACGATGCTCAGTTTAAAATATCATCCTAAGCCTACACGATGCTCAGTTTAAATGTTCTTAATTAATTTTTTGTGACTGAACGAAAGGATATTTTTGAAAACTTTCTTCGGCAATATTGGTTTAAATTATGGCAGGAATCGATTGGTAAATGTTTCAAGTCGCTAAGTGGTCTGGTTGCCGAGATATGGAGCCAAAACTGAATTTGTTCGAGGTTTTGTGTCTTTTCCGGGAAATCCAGGAAGGAATTCCGGGAATTTTTTTGGCCTATGTTCATCCTCGGAACTTGCTTAACATATTTGCTTTGGAACTAGACCTCGATATTGCTTCGTTGAGGAGGAGATACGACTTAAAGGCTGCGGACACACATCCATCCAGAAATGAAGAGTTAATAATCGCAATCCCAGTATGGAAATTGCGCTAAAAAGAAAACAAAGATATACGTCATACGTTCAGTTTTCAAGGGAGGTAACGTTTTTAAAATGATTATTTTTCAAATAATTGTATCCTAATACTATTTTAAACAGAAACAGAAAATGACGAAGTATAGCATTTGTTTTAGTAAAAATTAAGTTGTTAATTCAGTTACGTATCCAAATTAAATAAATTAATTAATTTTAAAAGGCAATGTAATATAAATTATGAGATATACTGTTCATGGAAACTCAGTAGTTCTAATTCCATTTTAGTCATACAATTTAAATATTATCTCCGAAAACGGATGTTAAAAAACATTCAATAACATCTTCTCTAAAATTAGCATTAGGGCCTACTGTTTAAATTTAAGCACTCCACACCTCATCGTGATAATTAGCATTCAAATTATCAAATGCTTTTGAAAACCTAAGCGAAGCTAGGCAGTATGCCTAATACTAGAGTAGATAGATCTAGAATCTAGAGTCTAGATCTATTCTAGGCCTTTATAAAAAGCGGCCATCTGTAAGTTAGAGTGGCTTCCCCTGAATCTTGCCTACCAATAAAAAAAAATAAACAAGATGGCTGCTATAGTAAATGAGCATGGTTGCATCTGTTGGAAACATCGCTAGTCTTCATTTATTACTGAAATTTTTTAATTCAATTGTTTAAAAACAGGTACATAGCCTAAATGAAACTAGGAAACGTTTTTGTATTTTTCAAAACATAGATCTAGATCTAAATCCTCAAAATGCTACTGATATAACAAGAAAACGGGGCGGCGATCACGCTGGTGATGACGATGTTTGAAATTTGGGTAAAATCTTAGTTTAGCGTCGTAAATTCGGCCAAAACTAGTAATGTAGGAGAGAGTGCAATAATGAATATGTCATTAAATATGAGTATATTTTCGTATATTTTGATAAAATATTATAAATAATTGAATAATAGATCACCATTTATGGTTAAATCAATTTAAATATCCTGAAATTAATTTTTATCAACCCTGTTCGAGATAGTAAATTTACTATTAAAAACAGCAGCCATCTTAAGAAAATGTTATTTAGAGTAGCTTCCCTTTCATTTCTATTCGTATGAAAATGTATTTAAATATGATTGTCTTGTTGTATAGTCCGTATAACAAAGCATTTTTTAATTTAAATTCTGCTCTTTAAAAACTGAATGTCCTAAGAAACAACTTTATTAATTCTAGAAGCATTGTGAGATGCAACTTGTATCCATGTTTTAAATCACGTTTTTTTTTTACTAATGTTTATTTGATCTTACTATTACTATATAGTTTGAGTTTTTTCTTATTGTTTGAATGTTCACTATTTTCATTTCAGGTTTTTTTTTTCATCAGTTAGATCTAGTGATTCTATCGTAACTTATGACATTTTTTTTTACTTCTCTTTACCTTAATTAAACCCCAACCTCCGTCATATTTTTGTTGTCAATGTCACAACAAGTCATAAGGGGGCATCCATAAATGACGTCACACTCGTAGGAGGGAGGGGGGGTCCGTAATTTTGTGACGATGTGTGGTGAGGGGGGGGGGGGGTTCAGATGTTGCGACGTCACATTTTTGCATTATAAAAAAAGAAAAAAGTTTTAATAAATTGTAATAGTTTAGACAAGATTTTGGAAAAATATCGATGTTTTAAAAAAATTCAACTGCAATTTTGAGGGGGGTTGTAGGTTGAGGTGTGACGTCATTTTAGGGGGGGTCTGGCTTTTTGTGACGACGTGTGACGGCGGGGAGGGGGGGGGAAGGTAAAAATCGTCAAAAAAGCGTGACGTCATTTATGGATGACCCCTAATGTAAAAAATTACGCTTCGCTCTGCCTTATCTAAGATCTCTAGCCATAATTTTGACAACAATAAATGTTCGTCATCATTTATATATACAGAGAGACAAAATGTATTATCCACCAGCTTCCCTCGTAAAACATCATCTAAAATAATCAGCCACTCCACCCCTTAAGTGCGTGTTGTCATTATGGTCGATCGCAAGTCTCCACCTGCCAGACACATTTTGGTTATCCTTTGTTGTCAAATTGTCAATATCAAGTACCCAAGTGAGTGATAATGATATGGGGTTGTCCATAAATGATGTCACATATGATTTGCTACGGGAGTGAGTGAAGATTTGTGACGTCAACTCAGGCGGCTTTGCAATTTATGACGTGTCGGTCTCATGAAAGGAGGTGAACGGGGAAAAATACCTATGTGGTTGATGGAGAACCTCTATAATGCTTTGTTCAATCAAAATAACGATAAATAAGCATTAGTATACGTATACCTTGCTTAAAACGAATTATCATAAATGTTGCAAGCCTGCTAGTTTAAGACATTTGGCAAAACGGCCTTAACTTAACACATTATCCCCGTCAAAAAGGCTTGCCACCAAATGCCTGCCGACGAATAAGCCGCGTCTAATGCGGGGGGTTTGGAATACGGCCATTAGCATGGGGCCGCGTTAGAGCACCAGTAGACTATCGCGCTTTGTAAGATGACGTAAATACTTAAATTCAATTTCGCTAAACTGCGCAAAAATTTAGTAATGTTCCATCGTTTGAGGAAATTTATTTTCTTGGACTTAAATTGAAATATCACGTTGACTGTCTGGCTCATAATTTCCGAATATCACTTTTAATGTATCAAGATTCAGAACTATAATTTACTTTAATATAAGTGTCATCTTATCGTTTATTGTGCTTTTTATAAAGCGCAGAGCAGCTACAAAATCGGACGGCCATCCTGTTTTCACCAAGCTTCTTTTGGAGCTTAATATGGGTAGTCTAGTTCTATACGGTGTGAGCTTAATACATTTTTAAAGGGCCGAAAGTCTCAAGACAGCAAGCTTGCAGAAATAACTACGTACGTTTAAATGGACGAGTGATAGATGTGTTTAATGAACACCAACTTATGTAATCAAATTAAACGTCGCAAAAGCGTCAAAAAGGCAGTGCTTGTTGTTGTTTTTTTCTATAAAATTAGCCTAACGGTCGGCGGTACCGCTACATGACGTATCGTGCGAGCGTTAACTCGGTGACGATGTGCTAAGTGGGGGAATGAAAAAGGTAGGGTTCAAGAAATGCGACTCAGCAAGCTTTTTACATTTCTTGACCCTTCTTAATAGTTCTTTCGTCCCCACTGAGAAAATGGATCACCAATGAATGACGCGTCCTACTTCTACAGCTGGTCTTTCTCCCACAACCATCCTGTTTTCACGAAAAAAAAACCTGACCCGTCTCCAAAATCACATCGCTGAGTTCTACTCAACCTCTCCCCACCACAAATCACAATTTCTATCTGAAACAATATGTTCATGTTTGCTCTGTAATACTGCACGCTGTCATTACTATCTTAAGAGCGACGTCATCTAATATTGATTTGCTTACTGCAAATAAAGTGTTCAAAAGTTCAACCTCCCAACAATTGTTGTGGTCTTGGATGCACACTATTAAGTCTGATAAGGTCTATTAGTCATTCATGTCAACTATATTTAAAAAAAAAGAAAACTTACTATACAGGGGGTCATCCATAAATGATGTCACGCTTTTTTTGACGATTTTTACCCCCCCCCCCTCCCCTCCGTCACAGCGTCGTCACAAAAAGCCAAACCCCCCCCCCCCCCTAATATGACATCACACCTCAACCTACGACCCCCCCCCCCCCCTCAAAATTGCAGTTGAATTTTTTTAAACAGCTATATTTTTCCAAAATCTTGTCTGAACTCTGTCAAAATAGAGTATTTTAATCAATTGTTATTACAATGTATTAAAACAGTTTTTTAAAACGCAAAATAACGTCTAAAATTCGTTTTGTAACATTGCTTTTTTAAAATGCAAAAGTGTGACGTCGCACCATCTGAACCCCTCCCCCTCATCACACAACGTCACAAAATTACGGACCCCCCTCCCCCCTACGAGTGTGACGTCATTTATGGACGACCCCCGGCATATATTAAAACAATACAAAACAATCATATTAAACCACAAAATCAACACAAACGACATGCGAATAGACAATTTATTGTTTTTAAAACATGGCCGCTGCTTGTATTTACTCATTGTTGTCTCGAACGGGGTAGTTTAAAGTTTATTCCAGGATATTTATGACTGGTTTGGTCTTGGATTGTGATTTGTTATTCAATTATCTGTTATGTTATGTAAAATATGACATAAATATGGCCAAATGAAAGAAATATTCATTAGTTACCTTCATCGCACATTACTAGCTACGTTGGAATTTACGACGCTAAACTAAGATTTTACCGAAATTTGCCCACATTAATGTGGGTTATTAAATCGTACACACTGATGATATCAGTGGGAGGGAGAGATACCAGTAACAAATTTTAATAGCAGTCTGCTACTACTAAAAGGCTCTAAAAGCATAGGCCTACATATAATATTAATAAACATATAGATCTAGATGTGGCTTGGTTATTATCAAGGTGGTGATTTTTGGCTCCAATGTTTTTTCAAGTAATTCCAAAACCCCTTTTAAATATTTAGTAGACTCCTTCTAATTTAAGCTTATCGGGTCTAGGTCTATAACATTTTCCATCACATGAACTAATATTTTCAGGTTTAGTCTAAAAAGATAATTGATACTAGATCTATGTCCATCTTTAAAAAGCTAAGTTATCATTAGTTTGATAACCTAGTGGGCAACTCAATCATAACATTTACATTCGATATATGTTAAAAATAATTCCCCTTTTTTTGTTATACTAGCAAATTTAAAGCATCACTCTAGCAATATTTATATATGTTTGACTCTTATCATTATAGAAAAAGCATATAATGTACAAGAATATAGGTATAATTTTATTCACATATTTGATTATAATATGTCAGCTACGTTTTTGTTTGCTGTAGCTTGTTGATTATATTAAACTAACCATGGGTACCCATTTCACTAGGTTTATATGCCTATATATTTTTACTGTTATACTTATTTTAAAAAAAAATAATTATTAAATCCATATACTTACCCACACACAACTTTTATGCAAGCACATATATTTGTTCCCTGCCATACAAATAAAATAGCGTTGAAAGTTATTGCGAATGTTGCTTTATGGCAACTTTTTATGATTTTTAAAGCCGCCCTTTTTTTTGTTATCAATAGGAATCCCGTTCACAACAATTGATTTGGTTCAAATTTTATCTCTCCCTGGCTAACTGGATTTGAATTTAAGTGAGAGAGAACAAAAACTTACAAGTCCTATTCTGTAACAAAACTAAAAAAACATTTAGTGCGAATTAGTACCAAGCTACCTGAAGAGAGCAAGTGTTCATTAAGTTGTTTATTACAATTTACAACTGTAATTAAAATTAATTTTTAAACTTTTATTACATATTTGGATAAGATTAAGCACTTATTATTTACAATTAAAAACTAACAACAGCAAATCAAGTTTTGATTTTTGTTATTGTTAATATCTTAGTAATTCTATTTTGATAAATAATTTAAAAAAAAACAACTGGTAGCTCAAGATATTAATCTACAGTTCTTATGGATTTGCATTACTGGTCATCTATTTTCATATCAAATCTTAGTAATCAGATTAACAAAAGCGTTGTCGAGTCGGCAAAAAACTCATGGTTGATAAATTCGAACAAAAGTCTCGAGTTCAAACCCCCTGGCGGATAAATCTCGATCCCCTTCAACACTAATAATTAAGAACGAAGAAGAAGAAGATTAACAAAAGTCTGGCATGTGTTGCAATTATTGCCATGTTATTAAAGTTGTTTTGACTAACATTTACATCGGTTTAACTTTTATGTTTTTTTAATCATCAGTTCATTTCTGAGATGCTGTCCAGCATGGAGGTTAAAACAGATGTGTTATCTGCAGTTTCATCTACTGTAGATATACAGTCAAATGAATTAACAGAGTTTTCATCTTCTGAAGATTTGAAACCTGATCTATCAACCATAGTATTATCATCTTCTGAAGACATAAAAACAGAATTAACATTTTTTAATTTCCAGGATATAAAACCTGACATGACATTTAAAACCCATCAAGATGTTAAACCTGATGTTACAACAGAATTTTCTTCTTCTGATGACGTAAAAGCAGAATTATCAACATTGTTTTATTTCCAGGATATAAAACCTGATATGACATTTAAAAACCCTCAAGATGTTAAACCTGATGTTATACCAGAATTTTCTACTTCTGATGACATAAAACCAGAATTATCATTTTTTAATTTCCAGGATATAAAACCTAACAAGTCAGTTAATACTTCTCAAAATTTTAATCCTGATATTACATTTTCAATTAAAACAATTAATAAGAAACCTGCGGCAACAGCAGTATTTTCAACATCTGAAAATTTAAAACCAGAATTGTCAACTACTGAAAGTTTAAAACAAGACTTAGCTAAAGAATTTTTATTTTTTGAGGACAAACAACAAAATGGACTTGAAGAAAATCTACAAATGTCTATGGACAAAAATAAGGTTGTTCATTGTCATCAAATATTTTCTCAAAGTTCTGATATTAATATGCATAAAAATGTTCATTCTGGAGATAAGCCATATGAGTGTGATGTTTGTCATGAAAGGTTTTCTCAAAGTTCTAATTTAAGAACACATATAAATATTCATTCAGGAGAAAGGCCTTATGAATGTGATGTTTGTCACAAAAGATTTAGTGATAAGAATGGTCTATTACGACATAAATTTATTCATTCAGGAGAAAAACCACTTGAATGTGATGTTTGTCATAAAAGGTTTTCTCAAAGTTCTTACTTAAGAAAACATAAAAAGGTTCATTCAGAAGAAAGGCCTCATGAATGTGATGTTTGTCATAAAAGGTTTTCTGAAAAATCTAATTTAAAAACACATAAAAAGGTTCATTCAGTAGAAAGGCCTCATGAATGTGATGTTTGTCATAAAAATTTTGTGGATATGAAGGATCTATTACATCATAAAATTGTTCATTCTGGACATAAGCAATATGAATGTGATGTTTGTCATAAGAGGTTTTCGCGAAGTTATAGTTTAAGTCAACATAAAAAAGTTCATTCAGGAGTAAGGCCTCATGAATGTGATGTTTGTCATCAAAATTTTGTGGATATGCAGGCTCTAATATGTCATAAAATTGTTCATTCTGAACATAAGCAATATGAATGTGATGTTTGTCATAAAAGGTTTTCTGATAGTTCTAATTTAAGAAAACATAAAAAGATTCATTCAGGAGAAAGGCCTCATGAATGTGATGTTTGTCATAAGAACTTTGTGCAGAAGGTGGGTCTATTACGACATAAAAAAGTTCATTCAGGAGATAAGCCGCATGAATGTGATGTTTGTCATAAAAACTTTGTGGATATGAAGGATCTATGACGTCATAAAATTATTCATTCAGAAGATAAGCAATATGAATGTGATGTTTGTCTTAAAAGATTTTTTTGAAGTTCTGATTTAAGACAAAATAATAAAGTTCATTCAGGAGAAAGGCCACTAGAATGTAACATTTGACTTCCAAGGTTTTCTCAAATTTCTTGTTAATCTTCACACAAAAAAAAATTATTATGGAGAAAAGCCACATGAACGTGATATTAGTCACAAAAGGTTTACTCAGAAGAATAATTTGTTATGACATATGTGTTCTTACAGGTTATAAGCCATATGTATGTATAAAAGATTTTATCAATGTTCTTATTTAAGTGCACTTGAAAAGTCATTCAAGAGACAAGCCGCATTAATCTGGTTTTTGTCATAAAAGATTTTCTCAAAGTTTTATTTAGTTTTAGTCTATATGCACATGAGAAAAATCAATCAGGAAGAGAAGCCACTTGAATTTGATGTTTGTTACTAAAGATTTTCTCAAATATCTAATTTTAATACTCATAAAAAATCCATTCTTGAGGTAAGGTAGGAAATTCATTATGACTTAACACCAATTTGGGGATGGAGTGGTCTAGCGGTAGAGAGCTGGACTGCTTACCCGTAAGTCTCGAGTTCATATCCTGGTTGAAGTAATTAGACCGTCCTGAGTCCACCCAACTCTGATGGGTACACAACTCACGTTAGTGAAAGTAAAGGCGGCTGGGCATAGTGCTGATCACACTATCTCTTCATATGCCAAGGTCACAGAAACAAGTGAACTCTACTTCACTTGCCCTATATACCATCAGGTTTGGAAAGAAAACTTTTAACACCAATTTAATTCATTTTTTAACAAAATAAATTAATTCTAGAGCAAATTATTATTAAAATACCCTTTTATAATTTTTTCTCATCACATAACTTTATTTAGCGGTTATCCAATAGTGGGCCATAGTTTATCAATTTTTATATTTGTATTATGAAAAGGTTTTTTTGTTGTGGTAAAGTATACAACAGGGGTCTGCTTGCGTCTAGCCGCATGCAGCTCTTTTGATGTCAAGTTGTGTCTCTTGTATGGAGTTCCATACACACGTAATTTCATTTTCAAGACTCATAACAAATATTATACTGTAAAAAAAACAACTTTAAATGGGATAAAAATACTCAGAGTACAATAAGTGTAGGTGTGGTAGAAAATTTATGGACAGCTGACAGCCACTTGGGCACCAGACCTATTTAAAAACAGGTGCATAAATGAAACAAGGAAACATTTTTGTATTTTTTTAAACTTAAATCCTCCTCAAAAGGTGAAATAATTATTAAAATTTAAGGAAACACCTGTTTTTCACATTACTAGTCGTGGGCAATTTTCCGTACCTAAAGTGATAGATTACCAAAAGTTGCATATCCAGAGAACTTGTAAATTATTATTTTTAGTTCAAGGCTACTCTACATAATACTTGTAAAGTTTTATAACTCCTAAGTTTCACTTTTGTAAGACAGACCTTGATTGGCTGTATGGATCTCTGAAATCGATCCTCTCAAAATTACACTTAATAAAAATGTTATAGTATTTAATTGGTACTCAAAACTTTGTCAATTATTTAAGTCAATACAATTTTTAGGGGCCTAAATAATTTTTTTTTAACCATACAACTTAGTTCAGCCATGTTTGTTGTCATTTTCAGTGATTAAATGTACACAACAAATTGTTTCAGGTTTTTTTTTTTGTTTAGTAACTGTCAATGCTAAAATCATCAAATAGGCCCTACATCCAATTTTAGTTAAATCCAACAAAAATCAGTCACCTTTTTTATAACCATATTTATTTTAGTAACATTGTGCCTACCAATACATGATTTTTAAACAAATTAAAATAATTGATGGGCCTTTCAAATAATTTCTAGACTATTCTCGGTTTGGTCAATTTGTTTTAATATGTATTTATAGTTATTGGTCATATGATCATGCCTCAGTTTGTAACATAGACTGAGGCTCACTATCTCTTCGTTGTTACAGCTTCAATACTTTTCAACAACTTTCCTATATTTTTTATTAACACTGCACTATAAGCACTTAGATTTAGATCTAGATCTGCACACAAATCATAATTAAAAAAAAAATTATTTATGGTTCTTGGACTATCACACCACCTACATGCATAAACACAGTCACAGGTGTCATTTGACATTTTTGCATAACTTCAGCCAAAAAGATAAATGTCTGAAATATTTAGAGTAAATGTTCTAATTTTATCATTAGATAGGCTAGAAGTCTATATATTTTAATAAAGTTTTTTTTTTAAATAACACAAACGAATAAATTACAGATAGGCAGTGATTTTCAGAAATCATTTAAAAAGAATTAGTCATCATTCTTACTAAATGGACTAAATGCCGGATTGGTCTAGCGGTAGAGAGCTGGATTGCTAACCTGTAAGTCTCAGGTTCAAGTCAGTAGACCGTCTGTGAGCCCACCCAATTCTGATGGGTACCTAACTTACATTAGGTAGGGTAAGTAATGGCAGCTGGGCATAGTGCTGACCACACTATCTGTTCATATGCCAAGTTCACAGAAACAAGTGAACTCTACTTCACTTTCCCCGTAGACTGTCTGGTTTGAAAGGGAAATTTACTTATACTCGTCTAATTCTGTTTCTTCTTGGTTCATAATTTTAGTGTCAAATTGAGGCCATGACTCCGATTTCAGCCTGCTTTTCTTTTCTTTTTTTTTTTCTTCCAAGAACAAACTACAAGGCAGCAGTTGTTTAATTTTGGAGTTGTCTCTCCTAGAAGAGTGGCTGTCCCCAGCTTCGTTCATCGAACGAGGGTTCGAACTCGAGACTTTCCGGTTTAGCAACCATGAGCTTTACCGACTCAACCACGCCGACCCAATTTCTTCCAATTTTATTCAGCGAGAAAGTCCCCCCCCCCCCCCCCCCTCGCCGGTCAAGAAAAAAATGGAAAGCATTTTTTGCCGGTCGCTGTTTCGTAAGGGTATTTGTTTTACACAATCAATGTAGAAACAGTTAAATCAGTATGTAAAGGCTTGTAGCCGTTAAATTTCTTAACTGTGACTGTTTATAATTCAAAACTGCAGCTTAAAAAAAAAATTCTGACCCTTTTGGTGCCTTCCTAGGGTCGGCGCACGGGTCGCCCCCTCCCCCGTCCCCTCTACGCCTCTGGACTTACGGACATCTTGGAAAAGTTTAACTTCAAATTCTTATCTAGGCCTAGTAATAGACCTAGATGTTATCGAAAATATCAAATCCCTATATTACATTATCAGTTAATGTTCACATGGTATATAAATGAATAAGTATCTTTGCAGCATGTTTTTAGAGGTCTGCTAAATTTTTATAGACGTCCACAATGGGGGGGGGGGGAGATAGTTCGTCGAAAGTGGACGACGGAGGGTAGGGGGAGGTTAAAACTCCACATTAATGTCTAGTATACATGTCATAAGTGTAAACGCGGTGTTACACTCCCTGTCCCTAAGGGGTCATCCATTTATGATGTCCACACGGGGGGGGGGGGGGGGTCCGAAAAAAATTGACTTGTGTTGACAGGGGAGGGGGGTTGGCCCAGTGTGGACGTCCACACATTAAATCTAACATTATTTTTGGTAGTGTGAAAGAAAAATATTTCCTAGCGAAGCTAAAGTTCAACTGTCATATCTCTCTGGCCCACCACCCAGCTTGGGTCTATGCCCTGGCTTAACCTCGAATACAATAGGATCCAATTACATGTTCCCCCACATTTGCATCCCAGGTCAAATACCAGGCGACCTGCATTGCCCTAGCCTACACTTCTCTAGGTAGGCGGGATCACCCAGTTCAGTTAGACGGGAGAGAGAGGGGGGGCGTTAGCACGCTGTCCCTGTTCAGGTGTGTGACAGGGGGGGGGGCGTTAATACACACTAGCATCAACGTTGGACTCAGTAATATAACAGTGTCAATGCGACTACAAGTGTGCGAAATAATGGCTAGTCAAAACACCGCGAAATATGCTAAATTAAATGATTTGTATCAAAAGGCTTATCCTTCCAAATTGAAATATCAACTTCAAAAAGAGGTTAATAGCCTATGGCTTAATTTAAAGAGGCAGCCAGAAGAACAATTTGTGATTTAAAAGCGTCTTTTATAGTGCTACTAGTTATCCAGGACCCTCATTCCTTGTAGGTTGTGTGATGGTGGGCATTATTTCCTCCATATTAAAAAAAGTATCAGAAATTGATACACATGACCGTTTATTTTGTAAATGTTGTAAATTAAAAATATTAATATAGTTTTCTATAGACTAAATATATTCTTTTAATTTATCCAAAGTACTTTTAAAATTTATTACAATTTAAAACCTAGCAATGAATCAGTATTGGTTTGATTCCAAATAAAAGCTATTACCATAAAACAAGCTTTCATAATTTATTTTTGTAAACACATTTTATTGTAAATCTAGATACGAAGATCAATAAAACACATTTGTACCGGTATTTGTAATATTATATATACTCTGAGTATAAACACACTTAATGCAGTAGTTTGAGTAATAGTGGAAGAAGATTATGCAAAAAATTATAGTCAGTGTGGACGTCCACGGGGGGTGGGGGTGGGGTGTCCGTCAAAAGTGGACGTTTGTGGACAGGGGGAGGGGGGGTCCAAAATCCCAAAAATGTGTGGACGTCATAAATGGATGACCCCCTAACCCTAACGCAGGTCACTGCGCATGCGCAGAACAATTGAATTTCGTATTTTCTGTCGAAGCATCTTTTTACCAGTAGGCCTAAGGGGCCCTAGTCACTTCACACGATTTTGCTTCCGCGTCACTTTATCATGTCGGATTCTGTTGAGATCATGAATGAACTAGTCTAGATCTAGACTAGGTAATCCCTTAGTTTAGCGTCGGAAATTATCGGGTAATGTTTGTTGAGTCTCGGTAACTAGAGTTACGGTAAACCATGGTTTATTTGACCATTGGAATATAAATAAATTGAAAGTCGATTGTAGTAAATTAATGTTTTAATTTTTTAAGTTTAATCGACAAAAGGAAACAAGAATAAATATGATAGTAGATTTAAATTAGTAGATCTAAAAATAAAAAAAAAACATATATTAATATAAATATGAATTTTAAATAATGAAGTCAAATGTA